GAGTCCCAAATATGAGCCTCAAGTCTTCATCACACAGATTTTAGGGTACATAGACTTGACAATGCTATATGTTGTAGCAAGACTGGTATTCAAAATCTGCAGGTAATGTCTCATGCACCTTGGATATTTTTGACATAATTATACAATAAGACTATTATAAATGTTTATGGTACAACACTGGAGAAGTATGTGCTCTGTTGTTTCTATGTGTCCAGAAATGTAAGGGCATAGCTACTCCAAATAGGGAGTCTTCCTTTATGGACCCTCAAGGATGGCTGAATGGATAGCATGCTTAAGAGCTTCCATTTTGGATGGGAGGTACCTGATGAATTTGCTGACAAAGTTTAGGGTCGTAGTTAGGACAGAGAAGTACTCTGTATTTGTTATGCACTGTTTGATGCTTTGTCCTATCATAATCCATGCTAAGTAGAATTCTTCAGGAGATGTCTAAAAATGACATTGTAGTTGCTGTTCTATTTTCCAAACAAATAGGAATTCATTGCTATTCATTACTATTCATACTTAGGGGGGCAAGAACCATGGATTTATGTTTCAGGAAGACAAATCCCAGATGAATGCTGGAAAAACTTCCCAAAAGTAAGAGCAGTTCAGCAATGAAACCATTTAATTACCTATGAACCTTCAATGGTTAGGACGCTGGGTTGGAGGTTAGCAAGCCTGTGTTTGAGACCTGAGTGCTGCCGTGGAGTGGAGTGAGCTCCTGCCCTTCACTCCTACTCCCAACTGGGCAGCCCCAGGCAATGGTGATGTCATGGCTAATCTTTCAACCTGGAAGTGCCTTGGTGCTTCTGACATGAGTGCAAAGCAATTACCCATGGAGGTGTTGACTTTCCCTTTAGTTTAAACAAAGGCTAGACAGCCACCTGTCAGGGATGGTTTTGTTTGGGTTCTTGAACTGAGTGGAGTGATTGGACTCGGTGATCCATTCCATGAGTCTGGGTGCGACCTTGTAGAGATTCTATTATTTTGCATGACCATGCATCTTAAACATCTTAAGCCATATTTCCGATATTTGGTAGAGTCCTTGATTCTGAGATTTGAATTGGGTATGTTTGCCTTTGAAGTATTTATTCTTTAAAATATTGTGTGGTTAAGGGGTTGAGCAAAGCTCAGTCTTTCCGCTGTCACTTTAAATGAACAGAATGGATGTTTTAGAAAGGACAGGGGTGTCTCAGCACTGTGAAAAGTTAGTGCACAATAGGAAGCTTGGAAAATAAATTTTTAGAGACATGAGAAGCCTGCCTTTGAAATCCTGTTTTTACGATGTTGTAAAGCTACTAGCATTTTCTTTGTAATTTTTCAAGGCTGATGAAATACTTGATCTATATCTTAGATCAATTTTATTCTACCCTTAAAATTCGGAAGAGAAATATATTTATATTTCTGTGAGTAGCAACTTAAATCTAAAGTTTTGCTTTCTACTTTATATAGAAATTTTAACATAGAAATTTTAGTTTGCTAAACAGTTTTTATTACATTATGCTTTCTCTTCTGATATTCACAGAACTAGTCAAGAGCACATGTAAAGATAGTCAACCCACTGGATAATTTTGGTTTGTTAAAATTTAAGCCTGCAATCAACAAATAACATTTTTGTGTGAGAGAATTGAATAATTATTGAAACATATTACTCAGCATTAAATAGAACATATTTCCTGTTTTTTTCCTCACTAGTGGCAAACAAAATAGCTTATTAGAAAAAAGACATTTAACTCTCCACTTCCTTATGTTTATCCAGAATTTGATATTAATCTCTCCACTAATTGATAAGCCATAGTAAATAGATTTAAACTTATATTTTTAGCAGAAATTGCTCACAGAAATGAAATATAAACCTGAAATAAGGTAATAGTTTATTATCTTAAGAATATTTGCAGGATCAGCTAGATTGGAGCTGTCTTGCTAAGTCAGGGTCTTCAAACTTGGCACTGGCTGAGGAATTCTGGGAGTTGAAGTCCACAAGTCATAAAAGGGCCAAGTTTGAAGACCCCTATGCTAAGTACTCTGAGAGTTACTTGAGTTGCTGCAGGATAGAAACGAAATGAATTCCTTTTAAACAGAATTATTTATTTATTTACAGCCATGACATTGATTAAAGGTTTTAAAGTAATAGTTAACAAAGACATTCTGTGTTCCAGTTAGGAGAGTTGGAAAAATAGATGCCACTTCCATTGCACTGTCAGAATAGTTTATAGTGCCTGGGATGAAAAGTATGCAACAAGAAAACCCCCCAAGAGGGAAAAAAAATGGAGGTGCCTACAGTATCTCTGCAAAATTCTGCTCTACGTATCAATGTGGGGCTTTTAGCAATGATGACATTCTTATACTAGCAGCATACAAAAAGTCAAAAAAGGCATGCAGAGAAACATACAGCAACAGCACAAATCCTAAATTGTCACATATAGATATAAAAAAGTAATCTTCCTTGGGTGAGTGACTTGGCATTGATCGATACAGAGATTATATTATCTTATTACTTGCACTGCTCTTTATAGGTACACAATAATATACAATACTGTTAAGTTTAAATTTTATAAGTAGTGTGTGAAAGTCCAAGGTCAGTGGCTGAGGAAATTAGAATGGCAGGGTGATAGACCTCCACTAAATGAAGGAAAGAAAGCTTATGTCTTAGGAAATAAATAACAATTTCTGAGCAATTTTTCAAGCCATCAGCAATTTATTACAATAGGACATTAAGGAGACAGCTTGGGAATCAGTGAATCCACAGCCAATTTATTTTCTTTAGATAAACTGATCAGCTACGTCAACTGAATTAGCAGTCGAGTAATACAGCACTAGTGCCATATTACTTTATTTGGGTGGAAGTGAGCAATGAAGATGGATGTAAAGATTGGGGAGTAAATGATCAGTTAAAAGTGGAAGCAGTGATGGCTGAAAACTGAGCTCTGGAGGGTAACAAAACTCTATTCTCTGTGAACTAGAAATGTTCTCCAGTTCTCCATTTTGACATCAGTAAAAAATACATCACAATTTCTTTCTAACCATGGCTAGGTAGGCAGTGAAAATTTATTTTCTCATTGATTTTGGCCATCAATATTATTATTTAGCTGAGTGTAACTCACTTATTGTAGCAGGTTTAAAGAGGAGAATATAATGTATTGTTTCATTAAATAATGCTTAATTTGCTAACATATACTCAATTTATGAGCATTATATAATATTGGATGTTTGAAAGATTTTTTTTTAAAAAATATAACCTACTGTAGCTAATGAGATTAGTGTTTCAGTTATGCTGAAATAAAATAAGGTGTATTATTTGAATGAGATAATAGATTGATTATATATCATCAGGTCACTGCTGATCACATAAATTGATTTTCTCCATGATGATTTGTTCCTAACCTGATTGTTCAAGTCTCCCATTAGTGCATTCATTGCCATTAAAACTGGATCCATCCAACTTGCTGCTAGTCATCCTCTTCTTTCCTTTCCTTCTACCTTTCCCAGCATAACAGCCTTCTTCAGAGAGCTCGGTCTTTGCAAAATGTGATCGAAGTAGGATAATTTGAATTTGATCAATTGTGCAGTGAATGAGAGCTCTGGGTTGATTAGTTTGATGACCCATTTGTTTGTTTTCTTTGCTGTCCATGGTATTTCAGGAGTCTTCTCCAATACAAAGCATTAACACTCTTCCTATTCTGCGTCTTCAAAGTCCAACTTTCATTTCCATAAAATATCACGGGAATACCATTGCTTCATGTTTCTGATATTTGTAGATATATAACTGCATCTGAATATCTTTTCCAAGGCCTTCCTGGCTATTGTAACAAGTGCTGATCTGCGACTTATTTCTTGACTGCATGTTCCTTTAGGGTTGATGGTTGATTTAAAAGGCAGAAGCTATCCGCCCCTTCAATAGCTTCACTGTTAATTCTGAGATTAATTTTTCTACCTGTTGTTATTAGTATGTTTTTGCTAATATTTAATTTTAGTCCTTTTTCCCCCCACTGTGTTGCTTGACTTTTATTACTAGGCCTTGAAGATCCTTTACAGTTTTTGCTCTCAGGGTAATGTCATCAACATAAGGCATGTTATTGGTGTTTCATCCCAACTGTCACTAAACAAGATAGTTGTTAAGTGAGTTAGAACCCATTTTACAACTTTTTATACCATCGTTGTTAAGCGAATTACTGCAGTTGTTAAATGAATCATGTGTTTGTTAAGTGAATTTGGTTTCCCCATTGGCTTGGCTTGTCAGAAGATTGTTGACCTGGACTTAGGGGAGAGTGAATACGTGCAGATGGCCCCGCTCTTTCTGGCCACATGCAGACCCATGATTGCAAGGTCATGAAAGGACAGCAAAGGAAACACCCAATATTCTAACCCAACCAGAAACATATGGTGCCTTGGGGAAACACCCAAACCACCCAAAAGGGAAAAAAGTCACGAAAAGTCGTGACACATCACGTGACATTGCGAGTTTGACACCCCTGATCTAGGACACTGCAACCATCATAAATATGTATCACTTGCCAAGCATCCAAATTTTGATCATGTGACCATGAGGATGCTGCAAGTGTCGTCATGTGAAAAGTCATAAATTACTTTTTTCAGTGCTGTTATAATTGTGAATGGTCACTAAATGAATGGGTGTAAGTTGGGGACTGCCTGTACTAAAAATAATAAAAATCTGAGAAATGTAGAGCCAAGATTCAAAGAACTAATCTTATTCCATAAAGATATAATACATGCTCTTCAGATAAGAGATTCTGCTATTATAGTAAAAACTATTTGTTAAATCTCCCATGTCTCAACATTATCATTTCATGTTGTGTAATTGCTACATGTATTTACAATACAAAAGTTTGGAACTTATTTCAGTATAGAGACATAACTGCCTGGATTCCTGAAATTTGGTCATTATATATTAACAATATAGCTGTTATTTTCAGGCAAATTGTTTATTATATTTTTGGTTCCTAGTGATTAAAAATAATACTCATCTTTCTTTCTTGCAGTCATCACACTCAAACAACATCCTGGGATCACCCTAAAATGACTGAACTATTCCAATCATTGTGTAAGTGCCCTTAAAACTAAAGCCTCTCTTTTTTCCCACTTATATGAATTTTTTTTTGTGTGGTCCTTAAGGACATTGTGCCTCCTTAATATTCACTAGGTTCAGTTTACTAATTATACGCCTTTTAGTTAACATATCTCGCTGGGATATGTTGCAATTTAGACAGCATTTTGGTACAATGGTTATATTTATTCCTAAAAAAAAAAAGGCATGGCATCCCATGCATTTGAATAGAAACATTTTCCAAAATATGCTTGATGACACTCTAAGGCAGGGATCCTCAACCTTGGCAACTTTAAGACTTTAAAGTTGCCAAGGAATTCTGGGAGTTGAAGTCCACAAGTCTTAAAGTTGCCAAGGTTGAGGACCCCTGCTCTAAGGAATATAATTTGGCTAGTGTTTCTTTAATTATAAATTCAAGGCATAAGAACTGTAAGATGAAAGGAGTACATGACTTTTAGTAGCCAGAGTACCCAGAGTTGTGGAATGGTTAAGGTGCTGAGTTTATGGTTGGTTTCAAATCCGCCTCAGCCATGAGGTGGATGTTTTGAAAAAGTAAAGCCAGCACAGTAGAGCGAGAGACTGCAGAACTTATGTTTAAAAGTTGTAGGCTATCCCAGAGAGTCATTTTAAAAAAAGGGTTTTATTAACACTTTACTGTTGCTAAGTCATTGGATGTTGTAACCTATCTCATATGCATGTACATAACACAATTTCCTCCCCCTGAGCTGTAACATCCCAGCTGAAATCCTACATCTGTTCAACCATTCCATGTATCTGATGAAGTGAACTACAGTTTACAAAAGCATAAATTACTAGTCTGAAAATGTGCTACTACATACCTTCTAAATCTCAGCAATGAATGTTCACAGGATGATTTTAGGCCCATCATCTTCTCTTAGCCCAGGGGTAGGCAACCTTGGCTCTTTTATGACTCATGGACTTCAACTCCCAGAATTCCTGAGCCAGCCATGCTGAGGGGAAAGGGAGAGGTTTCCAAGCTGAGCCATGCTGGCTCAGGAATTCTGGGAGTTGAAATCCACAAGTCACAAAAGAGCCAAGGTTGCCTACCCCTGGTTTAGCCCAACCTATCTCATTTTTTTTTAAACAAGGGTGAAAAAGTGAAAGGGCAAGTTTCTGGAGAAAAGGTTGGAAATAAACATTCTAAGAATAGCTATCAAGGATTTCTGTTCAATGCATTATTAGCACTTCTTATTTGGCTCTGAATACATTGAAATTAAGAACCATAGAGTTAGAGATTAACCATGTGGCCCCTTTCCATAGAATTCAAATCTAATGGAAAGTTGCTACCAGTGTATATGTATTGAAGTTTTGACTATGAAGACCTGGAACTGTGAGAGTTACTACTAGGAACCTCTGAGGACCTTATCAGAAATATGCCATGGAAAAGGCTGGTGCAGGGCAGAGTGTAATACTAAAGATCAAGGTCTCATGCACTTCTGAAAGGCTTAGGAATGGCTGTTGGAGCATCTCCAAGGGTTGTCACTAAAAAAGAAACACCTTCACCATATTTGACTTAATTTGCATTGAATCAGATCAATTCACTTTTACCCTGGGTCCAGCTACTACTTTGTTCTGATCTATTTTTGAAATACAATCCTTAGTATAGTTGTCCGTGGCCTCTTGCATATCTCCATGTTACAGCAACTAGCCTGTTTTGGATTGTAACATAAATTGTTTTTTTTTCTCATCTGAATACATTCATGTAAATGTTACTACGATATTCAAAATAAACCTGTCTGAAATGTTAAACAGCTGCCATTATCCTATTCATTTTTTTTTGAACAGGAACTAACTCTAAACCTCTCATTTGATTTGTAGTGCTGCATTCCTACTTTCTCTTTTTCTCTTAATTAATTAAGAAAAGAATGAACTATTGATTGATACACTATTGATGCATTTTGTTCAATCTGACAACAAATGTTTGATGGTATTGGGCTAATGCTTACTTTCTCTTCTTTGGCTTTTTTTAGCTGATTTGAACAACGTGCGTTTTTCTGCTTACCGTACAGCCATCAAGATCCGGAGACTACAAAAAGCCTTGCGTTGTAAGTATGCTTTTTAAAATTCATTATTTCTTTATTGTCTCAGAAAGCAAAGTTATCCTGAAGAATCTGGAGATAAGTTTCTTAAGCTGCAGATTTTGATATTCATAATGGTAATTCTAATCACTCCTAGCCTGAATCACTCTTCACTTAATTTGCATCACTTGTGTCACTGTTTTGGAATGACAGCGATTCATACTCTTATCGCTTTGAGTTTAGATGCCTGCAAGGCACATGTCGTGGAATGATTGCTTTATAAAGATTCAGAAACTGCAATTGTTCCCAAATGCAACAGCACAGCTGCTGACGGGAGTAAGCTGCTTCAGTGGCATAACACCTATGCTGTGGAATCCATCCATCTTCCACATTTAACTGGAGGCAAAGTGCTTTAGGACTTTTCCTCTGATAAAACTTGTTGAACTGCACTTAGAGGAAGGTTTCCTTGGTAATTGCTCCTGCCCCTTGAAGCATCTTTCCTCAGAGGTCCAAAATGGCTCCCTATATACTGTCATTCTGGAAGGCTTTAAAAAATATTTTATTTTGAAGAGTCTCCAGAGTTCAGTGGTGTGCTTGCATGTCATTGCTGGTAGGAGGAGATATTACTTTATTTATTTGAGTTTTATATTACTTTGTGATCATTTATGTTGCTATGGCTAATTTGTTTTATGGATGTAATCCATCTATATATCCAAAAAGGATATAAATCATTTTGAATTTCAGGGTATACAAACTGTAAATTAGTAAATAAATAACAAACTTGGTGCCCAGGAAATGCATGGATGATACAATTCCAAACAATTAAAGTAGGTAGGTAATAGATAAATGAGAAGAAGAGGGCAAGATGGTATAGAAAGAGCTGTCCCTGATTTCTTTTGGAGCAAAATATATGTTGAGGGAGGAAAAAACTTAGATGCCACATCATATTGTCTACTCTGTAGAGCAGGGGTGTCAAACTGCCGGCCTGTGGGCCGGATACGTCAGAACAAAACTGCACCCACCCCATTGCCGGCAATGGGGACAAAGCTCCCGATATGTCGTGCGATGTCATGTGACGTCGCGAGTGTGACATGTCTGCTATAGAGGAACAGCATGCAATAGGGAAATTCCCTTGCTGTTTGCTGAAAAAAACTATTAAAGCATATGTAAGTACATCTTTTAGTGAGCTAAAGCCTTTTGGATTCCTGGTAGTAGGTTATGCTTTTAAATAAACACACAGTTTTTTTCCTTTTAAAAAGTAATCCCTACATCTGCAGAAATAATCTCCCAAGAGATTACACAGCAGGAGAAGTATTTGACTAATGTTTGCATTATTGAAATGTCCAAGTATACCTAGAAATCCACAGCTGTCTTTTTCAATCTCTCAGCTGAGAGATTTTATTTTGCTTGGCAGCAGCCAAATCTTCTGCTTTTCTTCTATCATGGATTACACTGACAATCTATTGCCTTGTTCATAAAGGCAAATCAGGTTTCCAAAAGCTATCAATTTGGTATTTATACAGATAGCTGAAACTGCAATAGTATATTCATTTCTGTATTGCATGGTGTGAATGCAGTCATAGGGATAATTAAATGTAAATCCACTACAGAAATCCTCTCGTAATATATAGTTCAGTAAAGTAAACAAAAGGGATAAGATAATTTTATTGTCATTTACCGGTATACACAATGGCACACATGCCCAGCTCTCGAAATAAGAAATGCCCCACATTGAACAATATCATTAAAAAGTAAAATTTGAAATATATAAAAAGCATATGGATGGATGGATGGATGGACGGATGGACGGACGGATGGACGGACGGACGAATGGACAAATGGACAGATGGATAGTTAGTTAGTTAGTTAGTTAGTTAGTTAGTTAGTTCTATTGCTTAAGGCACCAGACTAGAAAGTAGAAGACCATGGATTCTAGTCCCGCCTTGGCCATGAAAGCCAGTTGGGTGACCAATTCATCTCACAGGGTTATTGTTGTGGGGGGGAAAGGAGGAGAAAGACGTATTAGCTGTATTTGTCACCTTGAGTTATTTGTAAAAATAATAGAGGCAGGATACAAGTAAATAAATAAAAATACTGAAAAACATAGAAAATCTGTTGTCTGATATATTAGCTTGCAACTATCAAATATTGAAACAATGTGTTTTTGGACTTCTGGTCTTTTAAACAAAAGTTCTCTCTGATTATTAAGTGAGACATTCTTTTGAGATATAAAATGGCACTAGAACTGTTGAAACATCGAGTGTTTTGTAGACAGATAATGAAGGAAAGATAGTGATGAGACACTTCTGGCACTGAGAACTAGGTTAATCACACTTTTATTTTTAGTTTTGTCTTCCCAGAAAAAAAAGTAAGGTTTCCCTGTTCATAGATAAATTACTGGAAATCTCTTTAGCTCGGATGTTGTATAGAATGACTATAAATGACTGAGGTCAAAAATCTTGTTTGGTTGCCAGGCCTCACTGAATCCAAATCCAATTTTGTTCTTTTAAACTAATCTCTCTGAAGCAGAAATGCTAACAGGTGTTCTTTTTTTCTTTTTTTACTTTCCAACAGCTCTGACAATAAAATACTTTATAATCTCTGCGCAGAAATAAGCAGTCACAATATTAGTTATTAAATGTATTTAATTCAACAACAGATCTTTTAAACAACACTACATTTTCAGTTATTCTCAACATGGTTTTTAAAGCTTGGTCACCTATCTCTATTTGGGATAGGTAAAGTGGAACAAGTATTGTATATTTTATTATAAGAAGGCACCAAAAATAAGTTAAAGAACTTTAATTTGGGGACAGTAATTCTCTAATATGTAAATTTGGATGAACAGCTCTGCAGTGCTTCCACCTTAGGTATCATCCAAACCAAGCTATCATGTATGGTCTGTTGAAATGGGAAATAGTTACTATAATTTAAATCTCCAAGAGTGCCAGACTATATACAGGTAGTCCTCAATTTATAAACCCAACAGAGCCCAAAATTTCCATTGCTAAGAAAGACAGTTGTTAAGTGAGTTGTGCCCCATTGTACAACCTTTTTTTGCCATGGTTGTTAAGTGAATTACTGCAGTTGTTAAGTGAATCTGACTCCCCCATTGACTTTGCTTGTCAGAAGCCAACGGGGTAGGTTACAGACGGTGCTCACATGACCTTGGGACAATGCAACTGTCATAAACACAAGGCAGTTGTCAAGTGCCCGAATTTTGATCTCATGACTGTGGGGATGCTGCAATAGTCACAAGTGTGAAAAACGGTCATGAGTCACTTTTTTCAGTGATCAAATTGTCACTAAATGAATGGTTGAGAGAGAGAGAGAGAGAGAGAGAGAGAGAGAGAGAGAGAGGGAGGGAGGGAGGGAGGGAGGGAGGGAGGGAGAGAGAGAACCAAGGTTAATGCTTATATAACATGTTGTATTCTAGTAAAAGGGAACACTGTAATTTAACATTAAAACCTTTGGTTCAAATGGGAAAAAAAGAAAAGAAAACCCAAATCAAAGTTCATTGTACAGGATTTCCAAACCAGATTGAGAGAAAGATACTTTTTGACAATTTTGAGCTATATGGACTTGGTATAGTCATACTGTCTATATTTTTAAATAAGACAATATCAAGCTCATGGGCATCTGCAAAGGCAGTAGAATGTTTCAAGAAAACAAGCTAACGATTTTGCAATCGTGACATAATGCATGAGAAGAAGAATAAGTACGAGAAAAAGAGTGAGAAAGATCATGCTAGTTTTATCTCTAAAAATGTTTTCCTGACTAGAAGAGGGATGCTGATCAACATCTTATTTGAACTAGCAATTCTGAATAATTTCAATCCAATTTTGATTCCTGCACAGTATAATATTGTGTGGGAAAAACAAGATTATACTTAATTGTATTTTTAATTTTATTATGGCATGCATCAGGCATAATTGGGAATTGTGGAAAAAGGAATGAAATTGCCTCCTGAGATTTCTGTAAAAGAAGGGAATGAGAATTATGTGAGAGAAATACTAACACTGGGGTTTTGTTTATTGTCAGTGCTGCATCAGTGGTAGCAATGTTTGGCAACCCTTTTCTATAATGAGCTTTTCTGTCTAATTCCATATTGGTGATATGTAATAATTTATCACTCATCCTAGAACTTGCAAACATATTTATATTTAATATGATGCTTACACTGATTCATATAAAAAAAGTTTGAAAGAAACTAAATATTAATGTTCCAGATGTACATATCAGGTGAAAAGAATATGAGGATAACATACTGTTTGCAAAAAAAATTTATTGTTTCTAGTAAAAGGTGTCTCTAAAGATTATGCAACCATTTGGCTTCCAGCTTAAATCCTCTTTATCCCCATGAAAAGCCTGTCTCTGTAATTTAAGAATACTTGGAGAAAAATTCATGAAGAGCTTTATGTCCCCTCCTATCTCATTGTATAGATGATAATTAGTTTCCCATAATCACTATTGTAACTACAGATCCTTTTGAAATTAACACATATTGTTGTCATCAGCTATGACAAAAATGGAAGCTTCCATGATGAATGACTACCACTTTATATGTGCAAAGCCCCATTTTCATGTTTTTCAAGATCATTAAGGGATTTTAAACGATATATCATTTTGCATGCTCTGCTTAGCACTGTTGGGTGCCAGTATGCAAAGCAATTCGTGAATCCTGTCTAGATATCTTTGAAATCAAGATGATTAATGCTTGTATACTTGTTGTACCCAGAAGCCTTCAGTGCCATCCCAGTTTAGAATTCTTGGCAGAAATGATGCGTCTTGTCAGAAATATTGAGTCTTGAACTTTGTCAGAATATTGAGGCTTTTCACCTGTCACAAAGGCTATCTTTTAAAATATCGTTATCCACATTTTAAAGGTTTTAGCTGAGCTTTCATGTAGTTAAAAAGCCTGGGAAGATAAAAACATTTTGATCCCATGCCACAAAGATATCAACACCAGGATCAAGAAAAATTTCTTTTGGAGAAATACCACTCTCAAACCTGTATGCTTAATTTGGCTGATTTCCCAGTAGATGTGCCATTTGAAATAAAAAAAAATCATCTGTGTTTCTTAAAGCTCCTACATATTTATAAATCTTGTTCATGTGTGTTAAATTATTCTACACATGAGTACATTGATGTGTTGCTTCCTGAGAATTATAATCTAGGGTGCCATCAAATGGTTAGCTACCCTTAGTATTATTTGCACACAGAATATTATAACATATCAAAAGCAATAAATAGATAAAATGAAGATGGCATACATGACTGAAATTGTGCTGGATATGGATGTGAATGACACAGCATCCTAGCTCAGGTATTTCTCATTGCAGTAAACCAAATTTCAAACAAGATTAAATGTTAAAGGATTTCTTCATGTGCATCTATAAAGCAGATGGCTTTGGACTGTTAAACGCAGACTGCTTATACAAATACTTTTATTTAACATCATGAGTTGGAAAATAACTGAGAAAATGCTTCTTGAGCTGTAATATTGCTTTGGGTTAGAGAACTCATATAATTGTGATAAAAGAAATATCTTTCAGTTGGCATATATATATATACATATTTTGCCAGTGGACCTCTTGGACTTAAACTCAACGAATGAAGCTTTTAAACAGCACAAATTGATTCAGAATGATCAGCTCCTTTGCGTTCAGGATATCATCAGCTGCCTCACTACGATTTACAGTGGAATGGAAGAGAAGCACGAGGATCTTGTGAACATTCCACTCTGCGTAGATATGTCTCTCAACTGGCTACTCAATGTTTATGATAGGTAAGTGTGAGATGTTCAGCAAAGCGTTTAAATGCACCAATGCCCTTTTACTGTTACATGTGGGAAAGATAAAACAAATCCCACATATTTGTAAGGCTTTTTTCCCTAAAACCAATAAAGAACTCAAATGTATCTACTAAATTCTGCTTGATAGATACCCCTGATTACTATTTTCAGAAGGCTAAATACCTTAAATCAGGGGTCCTCAAACTTGGCCACTTTAAGACTTGTGGACTTCAACTCCCAGAATTCCTCAGTCTTAAAGTGGCCAAGTTTGAGGACCCCTGCCTTAAATGAAAGCAGATCTAAAGATTGTTAGGTGCCTAGTTTTACGGGAAGAAGGGGCCACGGAGATTTGAATGCAATTACAGAATTCAATGGGTCCTCAATATTTTGTTTCATATGGAACCTTGCCTAGTCTTTTTAAACTCCCTGTTACTTTCCACTTTGTACAGTATGTGTTCAAGCCAATGCAAAGTTTACTCTTTCCTGTAAAATTCTCCAGCAGTAAAATGATTGTGCGTAACTTTATCTTAACATTTTTGCAAGTGGGCTTGGTTTGTTTCTAATTCATCACCTAACATGCTCATGGTTTATATCATTGACGTATACCATTTTCAAATAATTACCCACCTACAGATGCCATCTGCTTCTCTCATGCTATTAATCTGGAATTTAATTAGCATCTGTAAGACATGCTTACTGATGTTTATGGCCGTTGTAAGACATTAAGTGAAAACAATTGACAGCAACACCTATTGTCTTTTGTATTTCTGTCACATTAAGAATTATTTATTCCTCACATTAAGTCAGTAGAGAGAACAAAAGTGAAATTTAATATCGCCAAATATTATTTTCAAAGATTCATATATTTTAGGATCCATTAACATCTGCTCTGTAAAATGCTCCAGCCTTAAACATAAGCCTATAAATATTTGAATTGCAAATATGCTTTAAGTATGTAATACTGAAAACATAGTAATGTACTGGAGCTAAAAAATAGCATGAGAAATTAGAATCCTTACCACTGATTTCCTTCTGGAAGAATTTCCAGCAGTGCCAAACATTAAAGACTATCTGAATGAGGTGAATTGTTTCATAGAGAGTTGAAAAGAAAAATTGGTTGCCTGTAAATGGCAGAAATGAATGACCTTGGGAGACCAAAGAAACTATAGACTAGGCAACCATCATGCCCATGAAAATAAAAAGGATATAGGTAGCATTTCAGAAAGGACCCTCTCTAGGTTTTAGGAAAGTAAAGTAACAAAGGGGAAAATTACTTTCAGACTTACAAAATTCTGTTTCTATTTCTGTAACTTTACAATAAAGGTAGTGTCAGTAATCATGGTTGTTGTTCTTGTTTGGGCTACTTTGAAGGGCTGAGAATGCCTGAAAATCAGACAGGGGACATTAACAACCCTATTTTACAAATGTTCCAGTAGAGCGTTTCAAGAAGAAGTATTTAGATAACCTCAAAAGCAGATTATTTTATTAAAAATATTTCTTGCATTGACTCTGAGCTTGTCTGACCTGTCCCAAGGTTCATATGATAAGCACAATTAGAAAATCCAAACATGGCACTTTCCATAGATCATTGTGCAATCAGATGAATTTGTCCAATGTCAGTAGCAAGTTTAGAGGTTTGGTCAGCCAGACATCATTAGATCTAGACAAAGCTTTGTAGGAGGTCCAATAAGGTGACAAGTCAGTGCATGCAATTGAGATGTCACAGAAAGACACATGTATATCATTTATCTGAATTCAGCTGGCATTGCTGAGAGCTCATTGCAGAACTAGACTACTTAAGATTAATACTTAAGTAGAACGTTAATACTGAGGTAGTTTCTTCTTGTCTCTGCCTACTGACTCTTAATAAATATTGCCATAAATAGATTGGGCTTTAAAGTTGTATCTCCATAGTGAATCCTGTTGTCTCAATGGCTATGAACCTATTTATATAGAAGGTCAGTAATGGAGAAAGAGAAAATACACAACAGAAGCTGGGTCAATACTCAAAAATGTGAGTAGATCTGGGTCATAACTTGGAGATATTAGCCCAGAGAAATCCTAAGGTAATCCAACGTCACAGTAACCAGGCTGAAGCACACAATCACAGCCAAAAATAATTACAAGCAGCTCAGTATTAGCTGACACCTGCTGGCAATACTGAAAGACATTTAGGCTCAGGCTTAAATATTGTAATATTGGGCACCTCCTTTGAGTCCAGGTATTGGGGTCTTTAAAGAAATATAATTCTGCAAGATTTTTGTCTTGGTTTTCTAATATGTCTAATCTCCTGAATGTTTAGCATTCCTAGAGGAAACCAGTGTTTTTGGCAATATTTTTGGAAGTGGTTTGTTATTGCCTTCTTCCTAAGGCTAAAAGGCGATGACTGCCCCAAGCTTACCCATCTGGCTTTACGCATAAGGCAAAAGTAGAATTCACAGTCTAGTTGGTTTATAGCCTTATGCCTTAACCACTTCGGAAAAATTCACAGAAAAATTGTCCAGGTCATTGTCAGGAATCAATACTGACTCAAAGGTTAAAAAAAAGGGGGGGGGGATTGGGGAACTGTCCAGGAAAAAAAAAGACATTGTCTAGCAAGTCTTCCTGATTAACTTTCTCGTTTGCAGAAGCACTGGTTGACCCATCTCCAGCTATACCTGAATGCTTTTCTTTCACTGGTTCTGTTGCCAGTGATGGTTTTGTAAATACCAGATTGCATAAGATTGAAGTCATACTGCTAGATAAAATCAGTACTATTCATTCTCTAATAACAAATACACCCAACATTTTTGTTCTAATGTACATACACATCAAAGTTTTTAAAGCTCAGACTAGGCAAATAGTACTCTGAAAAATATTAATGTACCTGTAGATACTATAATTTGCATTCACTTGTCATCCACTCATTCAGTGTAGGGTGTCACATTATTAGCACATGCTGTGATGCTGTGCGCTTGAACTACAATGTGTGATAATTAATGTGTTTAAGCTGAATGTAAATATTTAGACCTTGCACAGAACATTTGTGAAAGAGACTCATTGATATGATTAGTAGCTAATGTCTAGAAATTGAAGTACACCAGGTGTTTTTGCTAGCTCTTTCAGTGTTTGAATTAAATTATACCACCTCCTGCCAACTATTTTAATGCTGTTTCTATAACAGTGCCCGGACTGGAAAAATCAGAGTGCAATCCTTGAAGATTGGCTTGATATCTCTTTCTAAGGGTCTCTTGGAAGAAAAATACAGATGTGAGTATGTTTTAAATATAATTCTGCAAAATCCATAATTTTGCCAAGGCTCGGCAAGAGATGAAGTAGAGTTGATTGGAACAAGTGCATTTCTCTGTCTCTTCTGTCTGTCCATCCATACCCATACGCATGCTTGTGTGCACAGACATACACACATATTACTAAACTGTTAATTTTACATTCCCTTTGCTTCAGTATTTGAAGTAGGACAATATTCCAGCTTCGGTTTCAACAAAGTCCACATTCTGATAAAATGTTCCATCAAAATGTAGGACTCAAGATCATAATTAAATTTATTGGCCACCAACCTTACCACAGGATAACTCTGGGCAACTTACACTACTTTTGTCAGAATTTCCTTCATTGTGTAAGGCATAGGTAATCTGTATTGTTTCCAGGAACCAGTGTGCCCCAATATCAGACATTCTGGTAATGTTAAAAGAAACTGACCTATAGCCAGATAGCAGTTTCATTAAGCATTAGCAATAGCAATAGCAATGGCATTTAGACTTATATACCACTTCACAGTACTTTACAGCCCTCTCTAAACAGTTTACAGAGTCAGCATATGACCCCCAACAATCTGGGTCCACAATTTACCGACCTCGGAAGGGTGAAAGGCTGAGTCAACTTTGAACCGATCAGGTTCAAACTGCTGAACTGCTGGCAGTACTGCATTATAACCACTGAGCCACCATGGCTCTTATATGTATTTGCAGCAATGCCTCTGTATAGTAAAGAACTATCCAGTGGGATAGTAGAGAACACCCAGTTAGGCAGTTTGGTTCAATCAGTATAAATGAATATTTTGTAATGGAACATAACATAACTTTTTGTGAATAGGTAGGTCTCCTATTGGAAGCTTTTTTAACACGCCATCACAAGTTCACATAATTCTAAATATACAGCCAGCTCAAAAGGTCTAAATTTTTAGTGTAAACTTTCTCTCCCTCCCCCCGCTGCACATACACAGATTCCTATTTGCTATTCCTATTACTCTCCTCACCGGTTCATTATCCAGGAATACACCGCTGTATGAGAAGAACAAATAACACTATCTGCTGTTCTGCAGCATATGATGGGATCAAGCTTTTTCTTCCTATAGAGTTAAAGAAAATACAGTTTGGGCAAAATTTGTAACTTTGTGTACAATTCAGCTGTTACAAATTTCATTAATGTTAAAAAATGCCTCTCAAGTAAACATTTGAAGACAATAAAATCAAAGGAAATTAAGTTACGAGAAAACAGCGGGGGATTTCTATTTATTAGAATATTTATAAATTGCCATTCCTCTTTATCTAACCAACTAGTCCTATAAAGTAAAACAAATAAAAGGGTTGAATTAATAATGACTCATCTCACTGCAATGGATTATATGTTCTGTTTTACAAAGTAGATTCGTTGTTTACTGTTCATAGTAGCATTAGCCTTTTACATTGTATTAAGCTAAATTTCTGTCTGAATAGAATTAGTAAATAACAGATCCTAATAGTAGGCCTGCAGTGGGCATTCTGTGTAATTCAGGTCTGCAGAATAAAATAAAATGACATACATTGTTTTTGTTTCTTTGCTAGTAAATGATTCTTTTAAATCCTATTTTGATGTCCCAGTCCTCTTTTCTCAAGATATGCACAAATTCCCCTATTTAATTATTTAGGAAGTTCCTTAAGACTTGGCTTTGTTCCCAGGCCTGGAAACAGGGTGTTTGTTGAGTCCCTTTTTAATATTGTTGTTGTCGATTCATCCAAGCACTTACGTTTTTAATTATGTGTTTAAGTTTTGTGCTTTAAATATTGAAAGCTGCTCGAAGTCTTTTCAAAATTGGTTAGCTGTAAAAATCCACTCAATCCATCAGAACAAAGAATAATTTGATCCAACCTGCATATATTGAAAATTATAGGATCTGAAATCAAATAGCATATATTCTTAGTATATTTTCCACGCTTGGGAAGGTAACCGCTTTGAGCAGGGATCTGTGGGTGGACATCCTGGAATTTGTATAACATGTGGGTGCTCTTGCAAAATAGCTTATAACCAGATAAAGAACCATTTTACATGATATATGTGCCATCTTCTCCATATCTTCCTCTGCATGTCATCTAAATGAGTCTGCTTGTCTTTATTATGGGCCAATGAATGTGCTTCCAAACAAAGGAAATAAATTCGGTGCTTAGCTAGAACCATCCATTTTTATCAGTCTCAGAAGTAAAAAGTTTTGATTGGAAGCATGCAAGCTTTTTTTTTCTTTAATTAAAATACTTTTTAAAAAAAATCTCATACTGTATGAGTGGGGAGCTTAATGGGCAAAAAGGAACAATCCTCAAATCTCCAGACACCATTTTAGAATCCCCAAGCTTAAGGAAATGTTTACTGTGACAGGAGAAGTACCACTTGCACAATTTAATTTGAACAAAAATATTATTGAATCAAAATACAAATAAATGAAAAAAGAGCAGTTGATTACTGGCTAGTGAAACAACACATTCTTGGAATACATTATAAATGAACCTATACTTTTTAGATAGCTCCAAATATGATATGTAAATATTGTGTCGCTTATCAGTGGAACTCAGAGCCCAAAGCGTCATAAAATAAGGAATGATCAATTCATAAATTCTTTGACAAACTTATGAAAAGTCATAGGTTACATATTGGGAGCATGATTTTACAGATGTAACTCTACCTCAGGATTGATAAAAATGATTGATATGAGAATACTTTATGATTTGGAAGAAAAGTTAGTGTGATTCAAGTTTATCTGTTTATAAATACTGTATATCTTAAACATGCAGTATAAATGATTAAGTAAATCTTAGACTAGGAAGAATGTGCTGAAGTCATTTCAGATAACTGAAATGGAAAAATCTTCTTTCTTCCATGCGGTGTTTAAATAGATCTGCTAAACCAGAGGTCTTCAAACTTGGCCCTTTTATAACTTGTGGACTTCAACTCCCAGAATTCCTCAGCCAGTGTGCCTGGATGAGGAATTCTGGGAGTTGAAGTCCACAAGTCATAAAAGGGCCAAGTTTGAAGACCCTTGTGCTAGACCAACAGCATACATGCTAGGTATTTGATTGTTTGAATGCAATTGTTTGAATGTTTTGATATGATTATTTTTTATTTTAACCCGTAACAGAATGGTGTTTTAATAAAATGAGAAAGATACTTTTGATTTAGAGAGTGATTTTAAAAAATAAACACTCTATGCTTAAGATCCCAGAAAGAGACTTAGGTTCTCAGAGTGAATGGTTTAATATAACTTGGTGCTGTACTTCAAAAACTCTTAAATATGTTGAAGAACGATTAAGTCAAACTTTTGCTTGCATGGGCCACATATAAAATATATAATACAGTTAAGGTATATGAAACACATAATAATGTTAAAGGTCTTGTGGGGCCACATTACTAGCTATCCAATGCTACATGCAGCCCATATGCTGTGAGTTGGACACGTCTGTGTTAAGCAAACAGCTTAAATAAAACAGAAATACCAAAAGAGATTTTTGAATACAAAACAGTTATTTACATTTTCAAGAGAATAAAAATGTTAACTTGCCTCAGATAACAAACAATATTGCTGATTGCTATGAAACCTATTCCCCCCCCCAGTTTTGATGAAGAATGGATCTCTATTCTTTACTTCCTTTTTCATGTACAATTTGTAAGCAAAAATATATGATAGCACCTACTTCAATAGCCAACATGTCATTGTGGAATTCAGAGAGAGTATTAATTAAAGGGCAAAACAAAGCTGAAATACCCCTAAAACCCCTCTTCCTCATTCTGAGTGCTGAGTTTACATTGGTTTTTCTGTGATCTTCCTTTATTATCAAACAAGAAATGGTAGAGAATGGCAGACATTAAAACTGTGCCTGAAATATGAACTTACAGGAATTGTAGGAAAAGCTCCATTTTGCATTTCTACTCTATGCACTAAGGAAGAGATGACTTAGAGCAGAGGTCCCCAACCTTTTGGGCACCAGGGACCGATTCTGTAGAGCAGTGGTTCTCAACCTGTGGGTCGGGACCCCATTTGGGGTTGACCGACCATTTCATGGGGGTCGCCAAGCAAGGCTGTCCGCCATTTTTTTTGTCTGCCATTTTTTTCCCCTTTTCCGGCGGGTGCCTTACCTCCCTTGAGCTGGGCCAGCTGGTGGTCGGCCTGCTCTGTCTCTGCCGCTTGCCAGCTACGCCTCGGCCAGCGCAGGGGGCGGAACCACGCATGCGCGCCGCTCCCGGGCAGGGAAAGTCCTCAACCTACGACCGGTTGGGTAGTCCTCGACTTACGACCGGTTTAGTCCTCGACTTACGACCGGTTTAGTCCTCGACTTACGACCGGTTGGGGTCGCGGCATTAAAAAGGTTGAGAACCACTGCTGTAGAGAGAGGATTTTCTGCGGACCGGAGGGTGCGTGGTTTTGTGTGCTGCCTGAATCCTTTGAATGGGGCTATCCTTGTTGCTGGCATGCCGTGGCCTGGTACTGGTCCACGGACCAGGTGTTGGGGACCCATGGCTTAGAGCAGAGGTCTTCAAATTTGGCCCTTTTATGACTTGTGGATTCAACTCCCAGCGTGCCTGGCTGAGGAATTCTGGGAGTTGAAGACCACAAGTCATAAAAGGGCCAAATTTGAAGACCCCTGGCTTAGAGTAATTCACAGGTAAAATTGGAAGAAATGAGAAATTGCTCCTTCTCAAGCAAGTGTCCTTTTTTTTTCTCCCTTTTTGCCTCGAAGATCTCTTTAGAGAAGTGGCTGGACCTACCGAAATGTGTGACCAGAAGCAGCTTGGCTTGTTATTGCACGATGCCATCCAAATCCCACGACAGCTTGGGGAAGTAGCTGCTTTTGGAGGCAGTAACATTGAGCCCAGTGTCCGCAGCTGTTTCCAACAGGTAAGTGTGTCTGTTTCCATTTCTGAATGCTCTAAATGCAGAGCACTCATATGTTAGCTGGGTTCACAGGGAGTCTCTTTCAGAGCTTCTGAAGGTTTGAAGTTCTCTTCCGGAGGAAGAGGGACATAACAGAATAACAAAATAACAGAGTTGGAAGGGACCTTGGAGGTCTTCTAGTCCACCCCCCTGCTCAAGCAGGAAACCTTATACTTTGAGTTTATACGCCCATTGCTGCCATCCTTTCCTTTAATTATTTGAAGTACCTGAAATGGGCTTTAGTCTCATACGATTGTACCACTAACCTGATCTGAAAGGCTTATACCAGGTTTAGGCAACCTCGGCTCTTTTATGACTCATGGACTTCAATTCCCAGAATTCCTAAATCAGAGGTTGCCTACCCCTGGCTTATACACATAATCCTTGACTTATATGACCACAGTTGGGACCAGAATTTCCATAGTTAAGTAAGGAAGTTGTTAAGTGATTCACACCTGATTTTATGACCTTTTTTGCCATAGTTGTTAAGTAAATCACATAGTTGTTAAGCAAATCTGGCTGTATTGACTTTACTTATCGGAAACTGGCTGGGAAACTTGCCAACGGTGATCAAATGACTCCAGGATGCTGCAATCATAAATACATGCAAGTTGCAAGTGCCGAAATTTTGATCACCTGATCATGGGGATGCTGCAGTGGTCATAGGTGCAAGAATTGGTCATAGGTCACTTTTTTCAATACTGTTATAATGTCAAATGGTCCCTAAATGAATCATTGTAGGTCAACTACCTACAATTACAGTGGTAAGTAATTGTCTTTTCTTCTTTGACTGAATATTGGTGGGATGAGTAATGTTTCCTTGAAGATCAAACTTGGAATATGTTTTTTTAGAAACTAGACTGGATAGGAAATTTTGATAGGAATGTTAAATTATTTTTGATCTCATCCTCATTTATTAGAATAATAATAAGCCAGAAATTGATGTAAAGCAGTTCATAGACTGGATGCGTCTGGAGCCACAATCTATGGTATGGTTGCCAGTTCTACACAGAGTAGCAGCTGCAGAAACAGCAAAACATCAGGCCAAGTGCAACATCTGTAAGGAATGTCCAATTGTTGGCTTTAGGTGAGCAAAATAAAATGTCTTTTATGAATTGCATCAGTAATGTAATTGGCTTATATTCCAGCTTCATTGTAGATGCTATGTTAGTAACTCATTATTTAATATGTTACAAGTTAAAGACTCATAAAAACTAGGGGGGCCTTAGAGGTTTTCTGGTCAGTACAGGCTGCACTACAATTTATCTGTAATGATAACCTTCTACCCTCTGTCTGAAGATATCTAGCAACATAGACTTTGCCAAGTTGACCCCTATTTTTCTTGGGTTCTAGTGTTTAAACTCTTCAACATCTTGATAGTCACCCTGAGCCCTTATGGGTTGGGAAAAATGAACACAAATCAACCTGTATGCTTAATTCAGTAAGTGGAAAATCCATTGGGCAGTATTGGTTCAGAAATTCACACTCATCAATGGATTGTCACCTGGTTCTGGGTAATAGCCTTTAAAACAACTTACCAGGTGTTTGAAACTAAACTATAAGTAATTTACTACAGAAAAATTCACAGCACAGTAAATTATTACATGTAGAAAATGTTTGAGAAGATTATGTAGATTAACTTCTGCAGCTAATATGCATTAGAATGTAAATAGGCTGAAGCCAGCCATAATTCATGATAGTCCTTGCCAGTCTCATAAAGCTGCTTTACAAATAGCACTGTGTCCTTATGTGAGCTTATTATCACAACAACGCAGTATTTGCATTATGCTGGGGAAATTGCAACTCAGTAACACAGACTTCATGATAGTTTTGTTCTTATGTATAAGATTTTTGTGGTCAAATTTTCTCTGAAATATTTATCATGTCACTAATTGAATCTGAATTCATTAGAAGTGTTATTACCAATATTCCCAAATGGTATGAAAATTCATAACAAAAATGTTTTAACAATAGCAGGTTTGCAAAGCTGTCCATTCTAAGGAAGGTTTCTTCTCTATGAAAGAAAGCAAAGGAAGGGAGCAGATAGTGACAATTCAGAATAGTCTCCCTATATGAATGGTCACACATACCGTGCCCTCTTCCATAGGGATAGATTTAATTATATCAGATGGAGAGCTCTCTAAGTCAGTGGCCCCCAACGTTTTGGGCACCAGAGATCAGTTCTGTGGAGAGACAGGTTTTGCCTGCATCCCGCAAATGGACCTTGCTAGTTTGTGCGGACTGTTTCTGGCATGCCATGGACCGGTGCCGGTGCACAGACTGGGGGCTAGGGACCCCTGCCTTAAGTCACTGGAGTTAGCTATCTTATTTTTAGTCTGGGATTTCCTCCTCCCTCCTTCCTCCCTCCACACTCCCTCCCTCCCTCCCTGCCTTCCACAAACATCTGGGATTTTTGTGCTTCTTATTTCCATACTGTAAATTCCTGCCTTTTCAACTTCCAGCTGTATTTATTCAGTGAGTCCCATAGTCTCATTTTCATTATACACTTATTCCATGATCCTTGAACCTATGGAAGATATTCTCTTTTGAACTGAGCTTGCCTCCTAGTCATTCCACAGACACATCCATGTATTTGGGTGGGAGGGAGGGAGGGAGGGAGGGAGGGAAGGAAGGAAGGAAGGAAGGAAGGAAGGAAGGAAGGAAGGAAGGAAGGAAGGAAGGAAGGAAGGAAGATTTCTGATGCTCCTTGTCAACTTCTCATAAGGAAAGCTGACAATACATTGGAAATTGATCTCACTCCTATTGCTTTTTTGCCCACCTGTGGTCATTCTGTTTCTCTGTTTAGGTAATCAAATATCTCTGAAACTATGACCCAACAGGACACAGGTTGTCTAGTCTCTATGCCAATAAAAACTTCAAAGAAACACTTTTTATCACTAACATGGGAAAGATTGCAAGATTAAATCCTCTCTGTCCATCTTTGATAGTCTCATCACTGTTTGATTCCTTTGCAGCTTCTGTTTAGCTGTAAGGACAGTGTGTTAATTGTATTTACTTAGTATAAATAAGAAAAATGGATATAGAGTAAAGAAAATGAAAGATACAAAGCGAAGGCATGGAAAAAAAGACAATGTGGCTATTGCATCCAATCATAAAAATAAATTACATTATTTAAATAAATTACATTATTTAAATCATATTTTATATCATACTGGAATAGCAATAGCTGGTTCAGCATTTCTCAGCCTAACCCCCTAAAGCAGGGGTGTCAAACTCGCAACGTCACGTGATGTGTCGCAATGTATCGTGACTTTTTTTCCATTGCATTCCATTCCACCCCATTCCATTCCATTGCAATGGGTGCAATTTCGGCATGACGCATCCAGCCTGCGGGCCGGCAGTTTGACACCCCTATCCTAAAGTATCTACATACAATATATTCAAAAGTCATAGACAAGCCAACAAACATTGGCATTAAGACTAAGGTACATCAATATCAGCAACCATTCAGATATTGTTGGAATATCTAAAAGTGTGTTACACAAAAGTATATAAGCTTGCTATCTGCTAAAAATGATCATAAATTTTGGAGTTCCCCCATTTCTAAATGGGTCAGTAGTAAAAAGAAAACTAGGTCATTATCTTCTCTATGTTACTAGGCCACACCATTAGCCACCTACTATTTTCAAGTCTCATTCCTGATTCTAAAACACTGAAAATTCAGGTTATGCTGTTATAATACAGATAATGCTGGTTGCTATTTACCTATGTTCTCTTTACAGAATATATTTAAAAATGGATTCATTTTCCCGTTTATTGAAACTCACAGATTTATTCATTTAGATGTAAAATAATTTGTCAGCTGGCATTGACAAAAGGGAGCCCAATAACCTTATCATACATTTCTGTTGATTTTCTTATTAAGTGTTTATGACAGCCTAATAGAAATTGCCTATTTTGTAGTTAATCCTCCACTAGGCCAATGATGGAAATTTAAGTAAAACAATATTTTTGTTAGCTGCTAATCAAAAATGCCTTTGTCAGTTTGAAGCCTTCCAGGAAACAGTCCTGACATCCATAAGCTGAACATTCTTAACTTAACTTATTTTGTCACATATCAAAGTGGCTTGGTCTGTTGTAAAATTGAAATATTTTAAACACTTGGACAGAATGATTCCTCCTTCCTTGTTTCAAACTCTTTTTTTTTGAAAAGCCATCAATATAATTGAATAAATAATATAAACTTAGCTGTGAATAGAACTGTGGGTACAAATTGTAGAACAAAGAAGACCATGTAAGTTATGATAAAGAAAATAATTCTTATTTTGGGGGGGGGGGGTTGCTTCTTTGATTGCTCCTGGTGACAATCATCATCTTGAAATAGTGATCCTTTTGATTGTACTGAACAATCAATCTCTTCTTTCAGGAACACATTTATATAAAAATATGCTGCATTCTTCTCTAGTGGTTTCTCTTCATCCCTACTGTATGTGAGAAAATAATGCAACTATTAAAAATCTAGATGTTACTAGATGTTGATTTTCAGACCAATTATAATTGTTATAGAAGCCATGGCATACTACTATTTGGAAATGCAGTCTTTCATATGCCAATGAGTAAATAATTAAAAATGGGCTTTACTGACTAGAATTTTTCCTTTATTTTTTAAAAAAAGTAGGTTTTTCTCTGGTTCTGGCATTCAGTTTTATTTGTTATTTCTAAGGACTAAATTAAACATGGTATTCATACAATGGGTAGATGAGTATAGTTTTTAATGGAATAAATAGATATTATTTAGATGGATAGTTTGCACACAGTCTTTAGTCAAATCATTGTCATCATCTTCATCATCATCTTGCCAACCCCCTGAATAGTGTCACAATCTCTTCATCTATCTTAATTAGGTTGTGTTTTAAACTCTGTAATTTAAAATTTTGAGTTACAAAATCTGTAGAGCTTGGCATTAAGTTTTTGAACCTTTCACAAAATTGAGGGTCTTCATTTTTTTTTTTCAAATTCCATTCACAGATATCGGAGCCTGAAACATTTCAATTATGATATTTGCCAGAGCTGTTTTTTCTCTGGTCGAACAGCAAAAGGTCATAAATTACATTACCCAATGGTGGAATACTGTATACCGGTGAGTATTGAATATTCTTAATTCATTACTCTTAATTTATTCCATACTAGCTGTATCCAGCCACGCATTGCTGTGGCTCAGTCTGGTAAAAGCGTGTGTTGCTTTTATGTCCAACAGATGGTGCTGTTTTTCAAAAAAAGCATGTTTTTACCTGTCACAGGTGTGACATCTATATAGTATAGGTATATAAAAACACATGCATATTCGAATGCAACGTTGTGTCAAAATTTCAAAGCAATCGGTGAAGAACTTTCGGAGATTTAAGATTTTGAACAAACAAACATTTACATTTTTATTTATATAGAAGATTATACCTTTCTCAGCACTGAGCCGTGGTGGCACAGTGGTTAGAATGCAGTACTGCAGGCTACTTTTGCTGCCTGCCAGCTGCCTGCAATTAAGCAGTTTGATTCTCACCGGCTCAAGGTTGATTCAGCCTTCCATCCTTCTGAGGTCGGTAAAATGAGGATCCAGATTGTTGGGGGCAATATGCTGACTCTGTAAACTGTTTAGAGAGGGCTCTAAAGCTCTGTAGTATATAAGTAGTATATAAGTCTAAATGCTGTTGCTATTGCTACTCTTCTGTTTTTAAGATTCACTCTATTTTACCATGGTAACTAGTATTGGATTAATGTGTTGAAAGTAACTATAGTTAGTATGGTATCTGGTAAAATAAATGTTAGAGTTATGTTTTTTGAGAATGGACCAAGTTTGTTTTGGATTAATGTTGCTTATACTTTCTTACAACACATTCTTTGTTTACTAGACAGAAAGAATAAAATTTTGGGATCTTTTTTTTAAAGTCTCATTTAAAAGAAAATTTGAACAAAAAATATATTCCTTTTCTAAAATATATTTCTCTTATTAATTTTAGTGTTACTTTTGTTGTTGTTGTTATCCACTATTATTATTATTTCAATCAGCTTGAAAGATACGGAATTTGGAAAGTCCATGAATATTGGCTGCTCTTAATATGTTATTTAGGAATTCATGCTTATAATTTTCTGGAACCCGCATGGTGGCTATATAATCAGACCCTTGTAACGTTCCTTTGGGTTGGACTCAATGCATGTTCAATTGGCTGCAATTTACTTGATTTTCATCCCATTGCAATCTCATGACTCTCAGCAGTTCTAATGTCAAAGTAAAAATAAATATAGAATCCAAGCAGCATACAATCCAAATTGCAAAAACAAAACCATGTAGGAAAGAACAATAATAAAGAGCAACAAGAGATGCAGGTGATGCAACTGAAAGGATCTTTGAAAAAAGCTCCATTTTTGTTAGTAACTTCTAAAAACTGCTGGATGGAAGCAGCCTGCTCTCCATGGGGAGCCCATTCCATACAAGGTTGAACATCAAGAGAATTGAGATTCATTGCTGTGCCTGATGTGATATCTGGCACATAGTGAGTTTTTGAGTCTCTGTATGAACATAATTAATTCTTTCAGGTTTTGGATGGCTAGAATGCAACTTCCAGGGGATGAAAGGAAGTATCTTTCTTTGTGCCTCACTAAATGAAGTGGTGTCTTCGCAGTAATGCATAACAGCATGAATTACTATGGAACATTAGGAATATTTTTTATATTAAGCATGAAGACTTGGTATAGCGATAGACCATCTTTTAGTAATCCTTTTCAAGATTTGTTTTCACTGTCCCCCTGCTGAAATGCTGGCTTCGATAGCAAAAATTGGATTATGGTAAAATTCAAGACAGCACTAATTATATCCTCAGCGTGATGGTTTTATCCACCACATAACATGTAATGTCAAAATGAATTAGGCAGAGCAACCCTTCCATACTATTTCTAACATGTTTCTAAACATGAGGAAATGATTTTGGATGCTGAGGTTCTTCTGCCTTCCTCTATAGTCTATATACCCCATGCTTATTATTTTGATTAATCATATACATTTATACATTTTGTGTTTAGAATGCTTTTGTTGTAGTTCAAAACTTTAGAAGGATGCCAGCTTGCTTTAATTATTTATTACCTCGATTTGTATGGCCAGCCAATTAGGAAATGCAGTTTTGCATTGGAAACTGCATTTCCTAATTGGCTGGCCATACAAATTGAGGTAAAAAATAATTAAAGCTAGGTGACACTCTTCTAAAGTTTTGAACAAGTAAAGCATTCCAAACCCCAAGAACAGACTGAAAAGATACAAAAAACAATACAGGTTAGTCTTCATTTAGTGATTGTAATTGGTTACAGAGAAATGGTCGCTAAGTGATATGGTTGCCAAGTGGAGCCGGAGGGAGGGAAGGAGAGAGAGAGAGACAGAGAAAGAGACAGAGAGAGAGACAGAGAGAGAGACACACACAGAGAGAGATGGTTGTTGCCATCTCATTCATTCAAAGTTCTTTTACACCAGGAGTCTTCAAACTTGGCCCTTTTATGACTTGTGGACTTCAATTCCCAGAATTCCTCAGGCAGGCACGCTGGCTGAGGAATTCTGGGAGCTAAAGTCCACAAGTCATAAAAGGGCTAAGTTTGAAGACCCCTGTTTTACACAGACTCCTTTGCCTGAGCTGTTCATTTCCCTTTTTCTTTTGACCGCTCACAGGGTATCCCTAAAATGTGCTAACTGCAAGTTAACAAGCTCAGTTCTATGACCTTAATTTGTTGATCAGAATCCTCTGGCTGGCTGACAGTTGCTGCCTGAAATTGACCAGACCTTAATCAACAGACCAATCTTAACTGAAGGCTTTTGTTGTAATAAATGCCTTAATTGGTCAGAATATATATTTTTATTACCGTTTAGTACCATTTATTTGCAAGCCATCTCTATCTGAGGCAGTTGTTAAATGAGGACTACCCGTAGTACTTTCAATTATTAAAATATTTATACCCAAGTCAACTGATATGGGAGGTGCTTTTTGCAGCTTAAGCAAATATATTGCAAGATAGAACAATATATTTTCCATTGATTATATAAGACACTATTCTAGAATTAGAGCCTAACTTCAAAATGGTCTTAAATCTCATATAAAGTTTTATTCCACTTTGCAATAGAACTATAAGTATTTAAAAAAAAACCTGAAACTTTGAACATAAGGTTTTTATGCTTTGGCTAAAATCCATATATATTGAATCCCCAGGCAATCTATTGCAGTAGGCAGCAATTATACATTGTAGACAGCTCAAAATATATAAGTATGTAGACTACTGATACACATTCTTGTTTTAAGGATTTCATATTTTTTAAGAAGATAGATGCAAGATATTTTTGCAGTGATTGCTCAGATGAAATTAAGAATTACATTATTCTATACTTAACAAAATAAATTTAAAGGTAAATTATCATCTTCACCATCTTTATCTACTTCTCATTTTTTAACTCACAGGGTGAAAGTGCTTTGGACAAAAACTATTTTAACTTTAATCAGAAATTCTGTTAGTAAATTAAAAGTATTATTCTAGGTCAGTGGTAGGCAACCTTGGCTCTTTTATGACTCGTGGACTTCAACTCCCAGAATTCCTGAGCCAGCATAGCTGGCTCAGGAATTCTGGGAATTGAAGTCCACGAGTCATAAAAGAGCCGAGGTTGCCTACCCCTGTTCTAGGTCCTTTGTAACCTCACAATCTCCCTCCTCCCTTGTAATTAGGAATTTATATAAAAGACATTATTTTAAACTTGCATGGCAGCAAGCAAAAGCTGGGAAAGCTGAACTGGGAGATTAATACCAGGAATGTCAACATCCATTTTGTAATGCAATCAAGTGCTAACTGCATCAATTATTCATACAGCCTAAGTCTAGGAGCATGTAATTATTCATGAAAGTCCCAGATTTCCACATAAATGGGTAAGATATGATTATCCTAAATATTTGTCAGAGAGCTGATGGAATGCTTTCTACGGTCTTGATGCACAGGGTTGGGGCATCATTAAAGTAATTTAGGCATTTATCTAGCATGGCACAAGAGATGGGTGTGGTGCAGGGTGGCAGGTGGAAGCAGGTTGTGTTGAGTGGCTGCAATAATTTGCTAACACCTCAGTGAGAGGGTGTGAAAGCTCTACTTCACATTGGCTGAGCCCACAATGTACAGCGCCAAGGAAGCCCTGTATTGTCTCAGTATGTCTTGTAAATCTAGATGTTCTACAAATGGAGAAGAAAACATTATAGGTAGTATCCAACACTTGCATTTTGGTTTCTCTTCTGGAGATCTCAATTCCCAGAAATTGGCAATAATGTATATAATCTTAAATTTTATCTTATAAGAGAACCAAACAACCTTGTCTGAATCCTATTTGCCAGCCCAGGGTTTCATGAATCCTTGAATATTACCTCTCTTATTAATCTCCAAAACTAATAAGGATGCACTTATTTTTAGCTTTTGAAGAGCTTATTAAATTTATAGCCTACTCATCATCAAATTTATAGCTGACAGTAATAAAGATCTTTATTACTCTCTGTTATTAGCTTAAGTGTATTATTCGTAGCTTTTCTTTTGTATTATTTGAAGTGGATTTTTTGAACTGCTTCAAAAACAACAAAAACAAATTAGAATATTTGAAGCTATCTTCTTCATTCACTCTTTAAAAATCTGAATTTTCTCAGTTGCATTTAGAAAGACAGGGAGGAAGTTTGTTAAGTGCTTATCAAAAGGAACTGATTGATAATCTCATTTATTTCCACTAGAATATTCAGTATTTACAGCTCTTTCCAACTGCTGCAAAGTTCTTAAAGATGAGGATCTTCAGAGGAAAAGCAATAACCACTTTAGCTGAGTGTATGAAAAATGGCTGAATCTTACAATAATTTTAATCAAGCCACTCAAGACCTAGCCATCGTATGCATACAACATGTTAACCATGCCTCATTATAATTTTGTGAGTGGCTTAATACATTTCATGAACTTAGTCTGTTTCATCAGCCTATGATTCAGGGTTTTGGGTGAACTTAGAAAATAGTTTAATTCAGAAAATAGGTTAAATGCATCTATGGCAGGGGTGTCAAACTGCTGGCTCGTGGGCTGGACATATCACGTGGAAGCCACACCCACCCCATTGCCGGCAATGGCAAAACCATCCTGATACGTTGTGCGACGTCACGTGACGTCGTGAGTTTGACATGTCTGATCTATGGGAATTAAAACAATTGTAGAATCAAGCATTTTAAACCCTCTGATAAAAGTCTGTACCGTATTTTGTATTTTCCCACATGTAACTTTTTTTAAAAAGAATATTGATTTCTTTTCATCTTCTCTACAAAGAATTCCATAATTTTAAAAGCACGGAACAATATTCTCACCCATCCTTAACATTAAATGCCTTAAAGTCTTAGTCTGTGCCCTAACTTGTTGTTTATGACTTTACTTCTGCCCCAGAAATTGGAGGGGAGGGCGCATTTGGATCAAATTGAAAATACCTTTGGAGTTTTAAAGGAACTATTACTGAAATGTTACATGATCCCTTCTCAGATCAATTTGTTCCTTTTCACACTCCCAGCTCAAAATCAGATGATCTTTTATTTCATTTTGTAAAGCCACTTATTTATGATGTAAAAACAGAGGAGAAATTTGGTAAAGTTACAGAAAGTAGGAAGGGGTTTTATGTTTGTTTGTTTATTTATTTATTTAACTTTTGAGAGTGGTATTGCAGGAATATTTAGCAGCAAACAAACCATGTGGCGATTTAACACACCAATTTTATTTATTTTAACAATAGCCACAATTTGGGCAACTGAAAATTGGCAGTTTTGCCACTGGATTTCAATGTATGTTTTTAAAATCATAAAATAAAAGGTCTGGTCATCCATGGGCTGAGACTGTCTTCTCATATTGTAACCAAAACCTTGTCTCTGTGTTACACTATAATGAAAGCATTTTATAGTCAAATCTACTAATTTCATTTTGTCATAGTTATGCTTGGGGAAACATGCAAACCAGACACTTACATTCTAAAAAAGACATTAGTGCCAGATCAATGTGCATTTTACTATATACATAATGTCAAGAACAAAGAGAAATCATATTTCACCAAATAAATTCCACGCTGATGCTGTGTGCTATTTTTCATTTTGTTCTCCGCTCAGTTCAGATGTCCCCACCACCACCCATCACACCTCCGTGTTCATTTTCCTACTGCCCTTTCTCTGCTTATCTTTCCTAGCTTATAATCATCTGATTGTTATCAGGAGGCCCCTTAACTCCCTTCAATTCCCCAGTACACTGAAGAATGCTAAACACAATCCTTCTATTAAAAAATGCCAGTCTTCATTACCAGCATATTCAAACCCTGTAAATAAGTGTTACACAATTCTGATTATGCACATTTTTGCAGACAAGGGTTTATGCAAACAGAAAGTTTGCTTGAGATGCCAACAATCTAGTAGCAGCACTTCTGGTTTAGTATTGCAAAGTTGAAGGTTTTTGCACTGGATTCGAACTTCTGAGGGGTATGAGAAGGGAAATGGGAGCACTCCTCTGCTTTATACTTTGTATCTCTATACACAGCAGAGAAAGAAAGTCTCAGTGAAAAAGTGAGGGGCAGTATTGCATGACCTGACCCATTTAGCTTTAGAAAAGGGGCTCCATATATATATATTATTAGTCATTTATTGAAAAAATACAGTCTTAAGGGACAGTTACTCATACTGTTGTAGACAATTTTTCGTGCTTATATACAGTAGCTTGTGAGTTTAAGAAATTAATGCATAAGCAATTGTCAACATTGAGCTGACCTATTTTAATTGCTGATGTTTCAGGCCCTAGGCTAAATAAAGTCTCTAATTTATTAAAGTCTTTCATTGTTCCAACATGACAAATTCAGCAAAAGTGACTAGGCTCTTTGGCAGAAATTCACTAAAAATCTTTTTCTCAAAGGGAAGACTCAAAGGGAAATTATGGAGTTGAAAAAAAAAACCAGGTGTCTATAGCAAGGAATAAATTGAGCAACACATCAAACAAAGTGAAATTGATTTTGTCCTTTATTGAAAACCAATAAATCAATCTCAAAACCTTTGGTTGGCTTTCTTACCAATTTTTACAGATCTGGAAAATTACTTTTATATCTTAGTTTTCTTCTCTTTTAGGAAAATAACTTCAAATAATGAATGGGTGATTGTTGATATTGTTATTCTTCATGCAGAAGTAGCCATTCAACCTTTTGTTGAAGCTCAGTGCACTAATATGTATTTTACATTTCAGTGGAAAAAATTAACCTCATTCTACGTTTGATGAGTTACATATTCATCCACTTTTTCATATTCCAGTGAGTGGCAATGCATGTGCAGCATTTGTCTGAGCAATGCATATTCTCTTAAAATGTTCAAATGGATAATCAAATAATTTGACGCAATATGTTGATAGAAAACACTGGTGGTCCTCTTAGCTTTGATGCTCTGTTGAGAAGCTAGTGAGACTTACAATGCGCACGCCTTGCGCACAGTCACCCATGCTCTTGTCACCTCCCGCCTGGACTACTGCAATGCTCTCTACATGGGGCTCCCCTTGAGGAGCACTCGGAGGCTCCAGTTAGTCCAGAATGCAGCCGCGCGGGCGGTGATGGGAGTGACTCGTCGCTCCCATGTAACGCCGCTGTTGCGCGAGCTGCACTGGCTGCCGGTGGCTTT